AAAAAAAAAAAGAATAGATACGATACTGTATAAATTTTAAGAGAGACCTACATCAAAGAACACAATGTTGCGGTTGGCATATCTATCGTGCAAGTCAATGCCATCAAACCTCTGAGGGAATTGAACATAGCACGTCTTCCTTCCTAGAGCAGGATCCATCATGAAACACATGGCTTCTCTAAGTGCTTTGCTGTTGTTAAAGTAGTGATCACAATCAACGTTCAAAAGATACGCTCCATTGGTGAGGACAGCAGAAACTCGAATCTGCAGAAAATCAGAAAACCCCATTGCAAGTTTAAAAAATGAAGATGTGATACGTTGTTATATTGCCTCTTTTACACCAAAACCACTTTTGGGAAAACTAAAATCATATCATTATCCAATATCAATCAATCAATACGAAGTATCCATTGCCTACCAAAGCATTCATAGCTCCAGCCTTTTTGTGGTGTTGGAATCCTGGCCTCTTCTCACGAGAAACATAAACCAGCCGAGGAAGTTCATTTCCATCTGTATCAAGCCCACCACTGTGACCCAAGAAGACCTGTTAATCCAAGGATATGTGCAAATAAGACACCTCTTCACAAATGTTAATAAAACACACACACACGTAAGCAAAGGATAAAATAAAACTAAAGATATACTAATAAAATACCTGGATCATTCCCGGATGATCCCTCGGGTTGTTTCCAGGCCAAGCGGTACCATCTTGCATTGTCCAACCCTCTTCAGGCATTTTTTGTGCTTTTGCAACAAGTGCATTGACCCGTATCTTGAATTCATCATATTCCCTCTATAAAATAAACCTTTCAGAATATAATAACTGAAAAAAATTTGGGCAGAACTGTCTCATATAGATAAATCTCTATTGTGCTTTGCCAGGTTTTAATTCATAAAACTTTCCAAATCATCTGAACTTACACATTAAATTGTTATAGCAATCAAGTTCTGCTCGATTGTTCTTGTAATTCGGACAAAAATTAGGCAGATGTTAAGCACACTATTGTTACCGCATTAATGAGATAATACTAGGCTTATCATTTTACCTTCATTGCCCTACGCTCTTTCACAAATGAAGGCAGAATCTTGTCCTTCAAATAATCAATCTTCCGAGAGAAATAGAATTCAGGAGCCCGAGGCTCAATATTAAACTTCTTGCAGAATGGCACCCATTTCCTTGCAAACTCTGCCGTTTCAGAGAGGGCTTCAAATGTCAACATTGCTGAACCATCATCAGAAACATAGCACGAGACCTTGTCTACAGGGTAATCCACAGAAAGGATTGATAGCACTGTGTTCGCTGTGATAAGAGGAGGCTCTTTCATAGGATCCACAGTACTGACAAACACATCCACTGGTGCTAACTGAGAAGGCTCCCCCTCCCGATCATATCTGACGGATTGATAAACAAGATTAGTATAATACCATATCTATGCCCAACAGGCAAATGGGAGTGGGATTTATGTCATTTTTGAAACTACCTTAAAGCGAGCCTGTCTAGATAGGTCTCACGATTGATGGGTGACCATTTTGGGAACTGATCCAAAAGCCAAGATAAGGCGAACCAAACCTCACAGATAACTGATACCAGCCACAAAGGATAGGCATCATTCACAGGGTGAGTCAGCCGGTATTGCAAGAAAAAACCCAAGATGATCAACCGAAGTATAATTACAACCCGGTAAGGGGTAACGTGAGAAGAAGGGATAGGAATCACACGACTTAAAGGTTGGCGATCATCATCAGCCCTGTTACAAGTTGAAGCAAATGTGAGAATAGACAAGCAAACTACATACATTTAAGTATCATGATAATTGATAACATTGAAAAGATGTCCTTGTTGCTGCCCAAAATCGTTCCCCACTTAAACTTACATTATTTATGTGTTTCTCTCTCATGCAATTTTATGGCTTCTGTTTCCCAATTAATATTGAAAGACAATTAGAAACTCACATTTGTAGCTCGTCTCCATTTGACCCTGTCCCTTCAATGTCTCCTTTCCCTTCCATGTATCTGTTGGTTATTTGAGTCATATTTTTGTCCTGTTTAAGTTTCCAACCTTCAACTCTCTCTTTCCAGTCAACGCTACCAAGTCCATAAGAATTCAAGTCCTTTGAAGGGTCCACAATTCTGACGGGAACTGCAGAGTATATCCTCTTCAGGAGTTTTGCAAGGAAAAAAGAATAGAAAGAGTCACAGATTTACCGTAGAGGTATTGAAGTGAACCAAATACCTGGCTGCCTTGGATCAAGGTACGGTAAGGAGTGACCATGCTTATCTCCAGGACCCAAAGGTCCCGACATACTTCTTACAGATTGAGTATCCGGTGTTGCACTTAGAGGGATTTCACCAGAGATCTAAAAACATGGCCATGTATAGATAAGCAGAAAGCGCAAATCAAAGACGACTAAGGAGTTCTATTAAAATAAGAAAGTACTAATATATTTGAAACAGCCATGCAAAACATGAATGAAGAGCTGATGACACAGGGTTCATCCTCACTTACTGGCTGCCCATTTGTCAGAAGAGGGATTGGTTGATGTCTAGAGGATGAGGAGAGATCAGCATCTTCTCCCTGCCACTTGTGTATGCCCTTGCCATTTCCTTCACCATAATTGAACTCATTGTTGAGGTCATCAACATCATCCTCATCATCATCACCATCAACTTGTGGGCTCCCTAATAGTACCCAAAAAAAAAAAAAAAAAGTTCAGCAGATGATTATGATAATAATATCATCATTGTTGTTAAGGCGTCGCCTAGGTGTTCAGTCGGTGGAGACCGGTCGCCTAACGAGCTCTCCTCGCCTTAAAATAAAAAAACTCCTACTAATATGTAGACCCATGACCTTTGGTCTGGCTCTGATACCAAATTGAAGCATGTGCTCCATCTCAACTAAAAGCCTAAGCTGATAGTTGGATTGCACATTAATGGCTATATGCTCAACATGTATATATATATATATATATATATATATATATATATATATATATATATATATATATATATATATATATATATATATATATATATATATATATATATATATATATATATATTCCTCATCGCCAAGTTGTCGCCTAGGCGGTCAGGTGGCATCTCGCCTTGAAAGTCCACCTTAACAACAATGAATATCATAATGAAATATGTGTGTGTGTGTGTGTGTATAACATTTTATCCAACTAGACTAACCTTTATGCCTCTTGTATCTGGTCTTGCACTGGGGGCACACTTGATTCCCATCTTTGCGCTCATACTCATAACAAGACCGACAAACAGGAAAGGCGCACTCATTACAAGCAACAAATATATCACCATTAGCAGTAACCCCAAGAGTATCACCACAAATCTGACATATCTGACTATCCAAATTCTTCAAAGGCTTTGGCTGTATTTGACACAAGCAATGATACACCAATCACGCATTTAAAAGATCCACCAATATATTCACTACGCTACTAAAATACCAAATCAGGCTTTGATCAGCGCATTCAGCTACTACAAATTATCAAATCAGTGTGACATAGTAAGCCCACCCTCACAATGCTCTCCGAATCGAAACCAAAGGTCTTTGGAAGCACATACAAATAGGAAGACAAAAGTTACTATGTCAAAGATCTTAAAAAGGAGAAGAATTTTGCATTCAATCAGAAAATGGCAGATAATGGGTGAATTTTCAAAAGCATAATTTAACTCTCCCCAATCAACAACTGTAACATGAGCTCTAATTAACTCAGTGAAAGAATTTAAATCAATAAACATCAAGACTAAAAGATCTATCTAGCATTATCAAAATGTGCAGTTCAGAAAACATTACCTCAACTACACTCTCTAGACACAAATTAACATTAAAAAAAAAAAAAACAAAATAAAAACAAGTGAAGATAACAATAGAAAATGAAAGACAAAGAACAAATGAAAAGGTCAAACATCAAAATAAAACAATATGCACTTCCTTAAACTGTTAGAACACTCCAGCTAGATCATAATAACACCTTTTTACTCAAAATTTTATTTGTTAAAAATTCAATCTTTAGCTCAGGACTCACTCCTACTTCAGACATTCAGATCTAAGCATCAAAAAATATATACCAAAAAAGTAAATAAGAATTTCAAGAATGTAAAAGCCCAGCTCATTACCGCACTATCAGAATCATGGCGGATTCGAACCAGCTCATTCCGCTTGTGCGATCCAGCAACCAACCCAGCACTTGCCTCCATTTCTTCTTCAAGAAACAGAGGATTTCTACAGTATTATTACAACAATTTCTGATAACTACTGCAATGTGGAAGCAAATTCGTGGGAAAAAAATATTTTTTTATTGGGGTTTAATAATAAATAAAAGATAAAAGATAGATCTTGGAAAATGAGAAGAAATTCAGGAATGTAGAATTGAAGTGGAGTGCTGGGCATAGTTGTTGCACCGACACCGTCGGTTACCGTAAATTGACTATCAACATCAGATTGCATACTCATACTGTGCACTCAATGCAATGCAATGTTGTCAATCATTCTGAATTTCTGGCTTGGGCCAGCTCATTTTGGTCTGTCATTGGCCCATTTTCTCTTTGGATTGTGTTGATTTAAGAGTAGTTCTTTTGAGAATTTTCTTTTTATGTGCAAAAGAGAGAGTGAGGTGGAGTGAAGAGAAAGCAATCATTATGACATTATGCAATGTCAAAATGACATCGTTTGAGGGTGTAGCTGAGTGGAAGGGACTCATCAATTTTTAATTAAATGTCAATGAATTAATCTTTAGCTTTGTATATAGAGCAATTTTAAATATCCAGGCCAATTATCTCACCTAAAAAGAAACGGCAGTCATTATGTCTGTTATATTTTGCAGTGTGCTTAGTTTTTTTAGTGATATTGTAATGAATCGTATGTATAAAATGGAATTGAATAAAGAGAGAGGTTACTATATGGACCATAACAGAAACTTTTGTCTACCATGGTTAATGGAAAATTTTCAAATGATGTCATTTTTTACTCAGTCTACGCTGCTACGTGGACCACAGTATACATATAAATTTGCCAAAAGAAAGGAAGATAGAGAATACAATTATTTTGAGGAAGTTGGGGCTCATTTACTAATGAAAACTGTTTTCTGTTTTATGTTTTTTGTTTTCTAATTTTTCAGTTTTCATTCTTAATTTTCAATTATTATTTTCTGTTTATACCAAGTGGCTTGTGGTCCACTAGTACCCGGTTGCTCCCTTAAGTGTGAGGTGAATAGGTGATAGGTTTGAACATCAATTGAGGGAAGTAGTGTGTATATGTAGGGTATCCCCTTCCTTATAATTAAATAAAAAAAATCTATTTTCTTTTTATAAAACTTATTTACTAACACTTATTTTTTTAATTTATTTTTTAGATTAACGCTATAAAATTAACACAAGTTTAATTTAGAGTGATTTTAGACCTTATATTTAAAATATTTTAAAATACATTTGGTTTAAATAGAATAAATATAATTTTTTTCTTTTAATTCCAATATATGTAAGATTTTTACATTTGATATCCTAACCAAATTTATATCCGTATATAACATAACTAAAAATATATCCAAACCAATAACCTATTAAGTTCACCTAAATTTTAGTTTGGATAACATTAATATTTTTTGAGTTAATATTTAAAATATTTTTGGATATATTCATTTGAATGACATGTATATAAATATATAATTTTTAGTTTGAATTCTAATATAGTAATATATGTGAAATTTTAATATCCAATATTCGGATCAAACTTGTATTACAATATAACATAACTAAAAATATCAGAACTAATAATTAATTTAATTCAATCAAAATATAAAACTTTGTATAGAGTTCAATTTTAAATTTTGATAATGTGAATAACGTATAACTTTAAGCATAAATAAATAAATTATGTTTAAATAAGTAATGCAAATAGAAAATATAGAAGATGGTACGTGATAAGTAAAATAATCTAATAATGAATGTAATCATACTAATGAATAAATATGTAAGTAGATAATGGTGAGAATGTGATTATTATAGTGACATATAACAAAATAAAAGGTATATGATTATGTTTTACATTTAGAAAACAATTTTTAATAGTTTTTCAATTTTCTAGAAAACTGGAAAATTGTTTCTTGTTTTCAAAATAGAAAACTATACTAGTAAATATATTTTTTGTTTTATGTTATCCAATTTCCTAATTTTCTAAAAAATTGGAGAAATTTTCCAATTAGTGGGCCCTAAAAAAAAATCAACGTGCACCAACGTAACTATACTAGAAAATAAAAAATTGAAAAAGAGTGGAGTAAATAAATTACATCACCCTTAAACCACTATAATTATTAAACCAAGTAATTAGTTAATTTGTTAGAAAAATTGAAGAAGAGTGGAGTAAATAAATTACATCGCCCTTAAACCAAGTAATTAGTTAATTTGTTAGAAATAGAAAGTGGTGGTGTGTGGCATTGTTGTACGTGGATAATGGATTAGCCATACTCGGTTCGCTCCGAGAAGCACAGAAGCTGGCCCAAAGGGAATCTTCACTTGTGGAATCCAACCCGGGTTATCTCGAAATTTTCCCCCACAAAGAGAGCTCATTTGCCACTTGTGCTACCCTGTTGGGTTAAATTTTAACTTTGTTAATTACTCTTCTTTCATTATAAATAGGGTGTACTCATGCATTTTATTAATCAAGCAATCAAGTTCTTTTATCTTTTCATTCCTTTGTATTCCTCTCTCTTTCTCTCAATATATATATATATATATATATATATATATATATATATATATATATATATATATATATATATATATATTATATTTAATATATCTTATAGAGATATTATATTTAATATATTTAACAATAAGAAATAATATTGTAGGTACATAAAAAATAATAATGTAGGTTTATAAAAATTGCACCAATAAATTATTACTTAAATATATTATTCTCATTTTTAAAATAAATAAATCAATATAAAAAAAGTTTGTTAAAAATATCTTGTTGAAATATTTAAAACGATATTTATATTGATAAAATTTTCAATATATCATTTTATTAAGTTGTGAATATGAACATACAATAATAATTTTATGAATATATAATGATTTTGTGTAGACCATAAATAAATTAATGTAAATTTTAACAAACTTATTAAATGATAGACCAAAAACATCACTTTACTAGAAATTAACAGCATAAAACTGATAATGAATATGTTACTACGGCCTATAATTTAGGGATCAAAATTTTAATTATTTCAAAATATCCTTATCAACTCTCTATAATGAAATTGGAATTTGAAGCTTATGGATGGATATGATATAAAATTAGAAATCATGGAGAAACGACAACCGTCAATTAACAAATTAATCATTGAACTTTAGACCCAGGACAACTAATTTTACAAATGTACGTAAGACATGTTTCTGTCGGAGTAATATAATAACAAATTAAATTGGTTTGAGTGGACTTGCTTTTGAAAAAGCAAATTAATTAGAGCAATATGTAGTACTTGATCTCGGTACGGTGTTTAAGGGATTTTTATAAGTGTGATTATGAAAGAGAATATGGGAGGAGAGAAAAAAAATGAATAAAATTAATTTTAGAAAAAAAAAAAAAAAAAGGTATTTGTCCGGCGCACTGTCAGCGCCTGACGCGCTCGTTGGGCGCACTTGTGACAGCCACGCAAGGCTGTCACAAGTTGTCCAAAATGAGTGTGGGACCCACTATACTGACATTATTTCCTCTCTTGCAAAGGAATTTCAATCCTCTTTCTCTTCACTCTCTCTCTGCCAACATGGTTATTATTTTCTTAATAACTTTGCATTCTCCACTGATGGTAATGCTCTTATAAGCCTAACGGAACAACCCTTACTAACTAAATAAATTAAACTAGCTTGCACGGGCTTAACTCACTAGTTCAGTAGACACTATTTGAGAGAAGAGACTAATATTCAAGCCTCGATAGCGACACTGTGAGGATTATGTTCAAAGTGGGCAGATCCCTTGTACGCATCGGCATCTGCCCTGTCTACTGAACCATTGAGTAACCGTGATTTACATCATCACAAATGCTATGTCGGGCCGAGGTATGGAGGGCCCTTGGAGTTGGAGATTCAATCTTTTGGGAGAATAAATAAATTAAACTATTCAACCAGTTTGGTTGACGTGAGTGACCGTGCATTCTCATTCCTTAAGAGAGGCCGGGAGTTTGAACCCCCTCTCATATGAAAAAACCAATCTGGTCAGTACTTTGCCCCTTAATTGAGTCAGCCCAATGCAAATGAGATTAGTCTCAGTATGAGTTCAAAGGTGTCTCTTACATTTAAGACTGCTCAGGACACTTAATGATCTGACCAAAAAAAAAAAAAAAAACTAAACTATTCAATATGTGTTTATATATATAGAAACAAGTTTTATTAGTGTGAGAGTTCGAGATTTTGTATGCAGCTTGCTACTTGCTAGGTTTTTCAAAAATACCATTTTCACCATTTCTTTATGCCGTCTGAGTTGAAAAAAACTAAATCATTCTTTTAAGTTTTCTCCAATGAAAATGTATTAATTATTCAACATTCTTTTATTTAGTGGGTCCTTCAATTAAATAATATCAATGAGGGATTCCAAGAGGTAATAACATAAAAGGAAATAAGCATTTTCCTTTATTTTTACCATAGAGAAAAACATATTGAACTGAAGTATATTATTGTAATGTGAATTGTAAACATTCAGATTATTTAAATTAACAACAGTAGAGCAAGGAATATGTATAACTTTTCATAAATTATGTAATTGATTGAACATACACCGCTTTCTAATTTTAGATATCAATAATTTTACGATCATTATTGTTAATCTTACCATAAAATTTTAATCTTATGCCATTAAATCATAGGCTTCTTGATATTCAACCAAATAAAATTACACAAAATATTCAATTGTATTCCTTAACATATATTCGAGGAGTGTTTTACACTTTTAGTCTTCTGACTATTGTAACTCTTCCAAGTTTATTATTAGATCGATTATCGATTCCTTTAACATTTAATTTGTGCATAATAATCATCAAACTTTTGCTACATTTGGTTATTTTGAATTTTGATTAATCCAATATCACTGCATTCAACTGTGTGCAATGGTTTACATACTTCTCAAATTCAAATAACAGATCGAAATATCTTTTCAAATAACTTACATAAGTGTCATGTAAGAAATTTTGACTAGGGATGGATGAAGAATTGGTCGGAATAACAAAATGTTGCGTGCAGAAATTTAATAGTTATGCATCAGATATAGAAAAATTGATAATTAAGAAAACAAAATGAAAGTAGCTCTATATTCAACCCAATTTCAGGCTAACTTTGCCAGCAATTCTCAAAAAAATATTCTAATATTAGGTTTATGAGTAATTGAAGATCAAAGTATATTGTAATTATGCAAACTTATGTTAAATAAGGAGCAGTATTGACTATTTGTGCTTCAATACTGTATTGTAACAGAATCAGTAGTACTCAAAAAAAATCGAAAAACCTTAAATAATACATATATAATTAAATCGCATGCACTTTCTTAATTTCATTAAGAAAATGAAATGTCACCCTCAATTATATATATAACAATATATATAATTATCATATCTCTGGCCTTCAATATTGGAACTTCATATTCATAACACTAATAACTGTATATTATTATATATTATGAAATTAAAAGGAAATTTAAGCAAACTAACAAGTAATTAACAAGCCATACATTATTATTATTATTATTATATTGTTTTGTGATTGATTTGATTATATATAATTATTAATTACTTAGAAAGGAAAGGAATGTGGAGTTTTTGGTTCCTATCTTACCGGCTATCATCCATTGATGACCTAAAACCATTTAGTGTGGCGGCGAACATGCCGGTGGGCTGGCCTTCCGCCACCGTGCCGCCGGCGTTGCTAACTGCCACCACCGGCGTCGGGAAGTTCATCAAATGCAGTCCGCCGCCGTTATTAGGATTGGTGGCATGGGCATTATTAGCCCACAAACACGGGTCGTGGCCGCTAGTACTAGGATGATTATTTCCCATTCTGTACAACGTTGTGGTGGCCGGAATTTGTCCCTGGCTGGCCGGAATGCAGCCGGAGCTCGATTGCAGCATGTAGCTTCCGGGGCCGGACATGTAGTTGTGTAACGCCGGCGTGTGGTGGCGATCCCCGGCGGCCGCCTCTTGCTTGGCTTGTAACATGGTGGCGACGTTCACTTCATCGCTGCTACTGTGATTGCCATAGCCGAAATTCAACGCCAACGCGGCGGCGGCGGCGGCGGGGGAATATTCCGACGAGAGGCCGAGCATAATCCGCCGCTGCGACTCCTCCATGAGGCGCAGCTGGGAGTAGCCATGGAAGTAGCTGTTGATGTTTCGTAGATGAGAGGAAGCGGACATGGTGGAGCCGGAGCTCCGGACGGAGATGTTGAGAGAGGTGAAGTTGGCGGGGATGGTGCCGGTGCCGGTGGCGGCGATCACGGAGGGCTCGGCTTGCTGGAGCAGCCACTCGATGGTTTCGCCGTCGGACTTGTGGCCCAGCTCCTTGGTGAGCTGGAAAACCCTAGCGGCGGCGGTGGCCGGCATGCGTATCCGGCGGCCCCGCCCGTCCACCTTCGTGTGCCGGTCCTTCGTGGAGGCCCTCTTCGCCGGAGCTTTCTTGCTCAAATCCTGCAATTGGTTCACTACCTGTGGAGCAGGAATAATGGCAGTGGACATATCTTCTGTTTTCTCTAGCAATTGTAGTGGAAAGTTGAGGCGGCCGCCATTATTTTCAGCTTCCATGATAGACAAAACTTCTTAGCTTCAATTCAATGGAGGATCTCGATCTGGGTTGACCGGTGGGGGGTGGGGGGGGGGGGTGGGAAGCTTAGCTAGATAGCTTTAGCTAGGACTACTACATACATGTATGTATAACTACAATACATATATACAGCTTTGCTTTGCTTTGTTGCTATATATCTTTCTTTCTCTTTGAGATTTTTTTAGGTTTTCTCTTTCTTGAATGACAGCAGAGAGAGAGAGAGAGAGAGAGAGAGAGAGAGAGTGGGAGCTATGAAGGGGAAAGAGAGAGTGCTAAGCTTTAAGCAACAAACACAATGATGAGAGTTACATGATTGACAATCTCTTTATTATCCACTGTATAATTTTTTTTATTTTATTCATTTATTTACGTGCCGTCTTAATCCTAAACACCCCAGTATCTCTCAATTATATTCATCTCTCTCTATATATATATAGCATAATGGTTCATGGCCTCACTTGATATGGCGATAGTGTGGTGGACAGTTCAAATTTTACTGGAAACATGAATGTGAAAAAAGTTCAGGATTCAAATATCACTAAAAACATGATTGAGAAAAAAGTCGGAGAGATGATGGAAGTAATATGAAGACTAGTTAGAATTGTACAGGTAGGCTGATTGTGCGACTCGAAATTTATTTTTGTGTGTGAGTTTAGATTTAGTATAATGGTAATGCCAAATAGAAAATACAAAGTTAGTGGCAAAGTTATCAATAACTTTCATACATAATCACTTATAGAATAATGTTTCTCTATTGATTGAGAAAAGTATGTTTGAACAGATATTACAATGTAATAGAGTCAGTAGCATTCAAAAAAAAAATTGCATCATCTCATCCACACCTATGATTTTATTTCTCTCTCATTTATAACCCTAATAGGGTGTTTGGTAGTCAGGAAAGTTCAAACTTATACGAAAATTTAAAAAGTGAAAAATTATCTCACGTTTGGTGTAACCTTTGACTTAGAAAAGTTCGGGTCAATGAAAATTTAATTTCACAATATCAGGAAAGTAAATCTCACCTAGGGGAGGTAGAATTCTTTTTCGGGGTGACTAGAAATTTACCACATGTATTCAATTACGTATTTGTCTTTTTTGGTGCTAGGTTAAAAATCATTAGAAATATAAAAAATTTGTTTCTCACACCAACGGCAAAGGATAACAACACTATTTATCGAATAAATTTGTCTCTCTCAACACTTTTTTTTTTTTTTTTTTTTTTACATAATACAGTTTATAATTTTGAATATTCTTATTGCAGACTGTAATTTTTGGCATATAATTTATTAATTTACAACTAATTTATTAAATTTTCAATTATCCGTTATGTTTTTTCTTTTAAACGTTTGTACATAACAAGATTATATTAGAGATTTGAGAGAAAAAAAAAAAAAAAAAAACATAGGAAAGCTACTTAAATGAACCAAACATCTAATTAATTTTTAGGTAATTTAATTATTATGTTTTTAGGATAACACCAAACATGTTAATTAATTTTTCCTGCAAAGTTATTTCCATCAAATACATTATACATTCTTGGAAAATATTTTACTAGAAATTTAAATGATGAGAAAGTATCAAACACCCTTTAAAACATTTCTTTTATATGTCTTTTGATTCATCGAAAATATTTTTTCTATGAAGTATTGAAAATATAATATAAATAATACATGTATAATTCAACTATTAATTTAATATTTTAATTGAAATAATCACATCATTCAATTTAGTATCATAGTTAAGTCACTTAACCTTTTAGTTAAGACGAAACACATATATAATTGGAAAGCTTATTATCATCATTGTTTATACCCTAGCCTTATCTATGTTGCGTGTGTGTGTTTAATTATATATATATATATATATATATATATATATATATATATATATATATATATATTAAGTTTCAGCGCGGGTGCATGTTTCTCGTGCGGTTGTGCGGTGAGTAATGTTTGTGAGTTTTGTACTTAAGGTGCATGAGACTTGTGCTTAAGGTAGTGTGTGAATTTTGTACTTAAGGTGCGTGTGTGTACATAATGTGAGTAGTTGTTGAAACTTAAGGTGCATGAGTTTTGTGCTTAAGGTGCGTGAGTTTTGTACTTAAGGTGCGTGAGTTTTGTACTTAGGGTGTGTGAGTCTTATGCTTAAAGTGCGTGAGTCTTATGCTTAAGGTGCATGAGTTTGTGCTTAATATGAGTAGTTTTTGAAACTTAAGATGCGTGTGTTTTTGTGCTTAAGGTGCGTGAGTTTTGTGCATAAGGTGCGTGAGGGTTGTGCTTAAGATGCGTGAGTTTTGTGCTTAAGGTGCGTGAGTTTGTGTTCTGAAGGTATTTTGTTTGTGTGCTTAATGTGCATGTGTTGTGTACTTAAAGTGCGTCAGTTTAATTCTTAATGTGAGTCCAACCGCACGGGAAGCCCCTCCCGCACCGGATCCCTTATATATATATATATATATATATATATATATATATATATATATATATATATATATATATATATAGGGATGCACTCAGGTGCGAATAAGTGCTCAGGAGAGAAATGCGAACGAATCAGCGCGCGACACGTGTCCAGATCTAATAACTTAAAAAAAAAACGCGGTGGCATTTTCATAAATAATTGAATATCGAAGTGCAAGTAAAATCACTTACAAGTGCACCTACTTTCACCTATAAGTGCATGTAATTTTGCCTTGTTAGCATTCACTTTCCGCAAACATTCATGCACCTGGGTGTGCTTATAACTATAGGTGCAACTACTTATAAGTATAGGTGCACCTACTTTCATCTATAAGTGCATGTAATTTTGCCTTGTTAGCATTCACTTTTCGCAAACATTCATGCACCTGGGTGTGCTTATAACTATATGTGCAACTATTTATAACTATAGGTGCAACTACTTATAACTATAGGTGCACCTACTTTCACATATAAGTGCATGTAGTTTTGCCTTGTTAACATTCATTGATCTGAGTTCAGCGGGTAGTAATACCCCTGAAAACCACTCGCAAACATTCATACACCTAGGTGCAACTACTTATAACTATGTGTGCAAGTACTTAGAACTATAGGTGCAACTACTTAGAACTATAGGTGCAACTAAGTATTGATGCTCAGTGTAAATTTTTACTTGCACCTATAATACATTTTACATGCACTTGTAATACATTTTACTTGCACTTCGATGTTCAATTATTTACGAAAATACCACCGCGTTTTTTAAAAAAATTAGTGTTTCTCATCCATTAGATCTGGACACGTGGACGAACAGAATTCATTCCTATTTCGCGCTTAGGCGAAGCATTTGCACCTGAGTGTGATTCTATATATATATATATATATATATATATATATATATATATATATATATATATATATATATATATATATATATATATATATATATATATATATATATATATATATATGTTAGAGATCAAATGTGAATGTTATGCCCAGGTGAAACATGCGGTGAGATGAGAGCCATTGATCTTGTTAAAATCAACGTCGAGGATTAACAAGGATTAAAAAAAAAGAATGCGGTGGCAATTTGGTCATTTTCCGAATTTGTCAAACTTAAGGTGCGTATTTTTTGTACTTAAGGTGCCTCATGTTCCTTCTTAAGGTGAGAGGTTTCTGTGATTAAGGTGCATCAGTTATTCAGTTGAGAACTTAAGGTGCGTTTTTTGTTGAAACTTAAGGTGCGTCATTCCAAACCTTTAGGTGCGTCTTTCCTTACCTTAAGGTGCCCTTTTAACACTTAAGGTGCGTCATTTTAACATTTAAAGTGCGTCAGTTGTAAACTTAAGGTGCATATGTTCTACGCTTAAGGTGTGCCATTTTTATACTTAAGGTGCACGATTTTACTACTTAAGGTGTGTATTTGTAATACTTAATTAAGGTGCACCATTTTTATAAACTGAAGGTACACGATGTTAAGATTTAAGGTGCGTCATTTGCGTTGTTCTAACTTCTAACACCTAAGGTGTGTCTTTGTAACACTTAAGGTGCACCATTTTTAGCCTTTGCTTCTTCCTTCTAGGGGCGCATTTAAAAAAAAAAAAAAAAATCATTGATTTGAGCCGTTGATCTAGATTTGATCAACGGCTCAGATCTCACCGCATGTTCGCACCTGGGACCTCCTTCGCACCTGATCTTGACACTATATATATATATATATATATATATATATATATATATATATATATATATATATATATATATATATATATATATATATATATATATATATATATATATATATAGGGAAGGGTTCAGGTGCGGGTATAGCTTCCCGTGCGGTTGTGCGGTTAAATCTGAGCAGTTGATCAAATTTAGATCAACGGCTCAAATCAATGAAAATTTAAAAAAAAAAAATGCGTGCCTGGAACAAAGAAGTATAAGCTAAGGTGCACCAAGTGTTAGATCTTAATCACAAACTCACACACTTTAAGTACAAAACCAACACACATTAAGCACAACTTCACGCACATTAAGCACAAAACCCACGCACTTTAAATATTAACTCACAGACTTTAAGTTTCAACAACTACTGACATTAAGTACAAAACTCACGCACATTAAGTACAAAACCCACGCACATTAAGCACAAACATCACGCACATTAAGCACAAAACTCACGCACTTTAAGTATTCACTCACAAACTTTAAGTTTTAACAACTATTCACGTTAAGCACATCCCCACGCACATTAAGCACAAAACACACGCACATTAAGCACAAAACTCACGCACATTAGTCACAGATCTGCTCACCTTAATTTTGACCTAGATGCAAAAATTACAAAATTACTACCGCGTTTTTCTTTTAAAACATTGATAATCCTGGACGTTGACTAAAGCGAGATGAATGGCTCAGATTAAACCGCACAACCGCACCTGAAGCCCTCACCCGCACGAGAACCTAAATATATATATATATATATATATATATATATATATATATATATATATATATATATATATATATATATATAATTTACTTGTGTATAGTTTTCATTTTGCAAGCTTTAACAGAGTGAGTTTATGAAGCTATTTTTCACTCTTTTAGATTAGTTCTTTTTTGTTTATTGTATAGAAAGTGACAGCTTTTGCTGGTTGCTAGAGAATTTAATTATTGAAGGTAGGATGAGCAAAGGAATTACAAGTTTATTCCTGCTCCTTTTACAGAAGTTGTAAATGTTACGGAACCATAAATTTCTAAAGTAAATTTCATTATTCAAGTTTTATTTTATTTTAACATTATATC